TTTCTGCCCATTTCTTCACTGGGTTATCTGCTTTTCTGGTGTGCAGTTTGGTGAGCTCTTTATAGATTTTGGATACTAGCCCTTTGTCCGTTATGTCATTTGCAAATATCTTTTCCCATTCCGTTGGTTGCCTTTTAGTTTTGTTGGTTGTTTCCTTTGCTGTGCAGAAGCTTTTTATCTTCATAAGGTCCCAGTAGTTGTTTTGTTTTTAATTCCTAATTCTATACAAACGGGCACTTGTGGCTTAGGTAAAATTTCTTTTTTTTTTTTTAATGTTTATTCATTTTGAGAGAGAGCTCAAGTGGGGGGGAACACAGAAAGAGGGAGAAAGAATCGCAAACAGGTTCCACACTGCCAGAATGGAGCTTGACATGGGGCTTGATCCCACAAACTGTGAGACCATGACCTGAGCTGAAATCAAGAGTCAGATGCTTAACCGACTGATGCACCCAAGCACCCCAAATATCTAATAAGAGCAATACATACTGATCAAAAAAAGGGCTTATCTCAAACAACTTAAGCAGAACTTGAGATAATGTGCTCTGTAAAAATCCCTTAAAATTACTCAAAAAGCATGATGATGAAGAAATCGATGTTGAAGATTATTCAGTCTGAATGAAATTGTCTTACGAATATGAGAGTGGGCAAAATGCCCCATTTCTAAGTTATTATTTTGCATAATATATTTAGAAAGCATGTGTAAATGTTTAATTAAGCTAATGAAGAAAACATTATAAGCAGGCATTCAACTATTTTACCTATAATCATCAATGTTTCTATACTCAAGTTGACCAAACTTGAGAGTTTCTCATTGGGAAAAGGAAGGACTGCCTAACACAACAAGCAGGGCACAGGCCTCTATAGCAGAGACAGAACATACCATTTCACCATAAAACTCCAAGATTTTTAATAATGATTATTAAGAGTTAAATTACTCAACACCTAATACTTCTTTGCCTGTGTTAGTACAAACTTATTAAATGGAAAGCTGCCTTTTATTACGCCGGAAAGGTAAAGACATAGGCAAATTCTGGACAATGATCACCAAGATAATTAAGTTCTGTAGTGAATTATAAAGCACTGCAGGGGGGAGGAGAGAAATCCAAGAGTCTATACCAATAACAAACAGATAAATAAGTGGAAGAGAAGGGAGATCTTTGGCTTACATTAGAATGCCTAGGGCTGACTGCTAAACTACCAAGAAGGTGCAGGAGATTGAAAGTTCTAATTTTGCATTCCTCACAGTAAAAATAAGATCAGACAAGAATTTGAATGAATGTTAACTTAAGAAAATGTTTATGAGAAGCAGGATATTTTCATTCATCTCCCTACAGACTGCTTATTTGTTGCAAGGGGGGAGAAAAAGGGGAATTACAGTGGAGAAATCAGATATTTTCACAATCACATTTTCGCAACCAAAATTAACATCACTAGGGAGGGACAGATAGTTATCAGGCACCTCCAAATGCAATCCACTATGAAGGAGACAATATCACCTATGGAGCAAGAAGTAATCTGGATCTAATCACAAGGTAATATTAGATAAACCCCAAATTAGTAATGTTACATTAAAAAGTGGGAAAATGGATGTATTCTTCAAAAATTCCATGTCATAAGCAACACAGAAAGGCTGTGGAAATATTACCACATTAATGAAAGCCAAAGACATATGGCAACTAAATGCAATATCTGACCCTAGTGTAAATCCTGAGCTGGAGGAAAAAAGGACGCTACTGAGATAAGTGACAAAACTGGAGACAAATGGTAGGTTAAAGACAAAGCATTGTATATGGGGCACCTGGATGGCTCAGTCAGTTAAGCGTCTGACTCTCGGTTTCAGCTTAGGTCATGGTTTCACAGTGAGTTCAAGCCCCACATAGGGCTCCACGCTGTCAGTGTGGAGCCTGCTCTGGATTTCTCGCTGTCCCTCTCTGTCTGGCCCTCCCCTACTTGTGTTCTCTCCCTCCCCCTCCCTCCTCTCTAAAACATATAAGTAAGTATTGTATGAATGCTAAATTTAAAAAAGTATTCTAGGAATGCTAAATTTATAGAAGTTGCTACAAATAATGCACTTATATAATAGATATCCGTATCCTTATTTTTAGGAAATACTCATTTCCTAAGGAATTATATAGGAATAAAATTGTTCAGAAAAACAATAATGTGGGTCTGTCTGTAGGTAGGTAGGTAGGTAGGTAGGGAAAGATTGAGAGACAGCGAGGAGAGAGATTGAGAGATTGAGAAAGTGGGTGCAGAGCAAATGGGGCAAAATGTTACCAAGAGATGATTCTAAGCAGAGTACACAGATGTTCTCTGTACCATTTTTTTTTTTAACTGTTCTAGAAGTTTGAAATTGCATACTTCCAAATAAAAAGATTCAAACATTGCTAGAGCTACTGTTAACAACAACACATTCTCATCATCATTCTTTTAGGACTAAAATATTCAAAGTCAATAATACCTTTAATCTTTAGCTATGTTTCATGAACTTTTATGACTCAAAATTATTTTTTTATTACCACTAAGAAAGGAAAAAAGATGACAACTATAAGAGAGAATTATACAGCAGAACTTTTCCTGTTATCTGGATACCAGCAGTTAAACCCAAGGATGGGAACAAAGCACAGCTAAATTCCTGACATTCTAAAGAAAGCTGCAGATAATTGGGGGCCAGACACCTTCTCCTACACTTGAGAGGGACAGCGGTGACCATGATCCCAACAGCCAGCACCTCAACTGGCTCCCGCCTTCATCCTAGTCTACAGATGGGGAGGGAGGAGTCAGAGTCTACAGCAATCTTGATGAAGAGGCTTTTCTTTCTCTTATGACTGTCACCAATTGCTCCCACTTCTAGAAACCAAGTGAATAGGCATTTGTTTTTGTTTCTGGCTTTTTATCACCATAAAAAGGGCTGTAATAAACACCCTCAGAAATATGTCCTTCGACAGTGGTACTTTTATTTTTAATGGAATATTCCCTAGAATGGAGACTGATGCATGCAACTATAGATTTGGGTTTTGTTTTGTTTACTTTTATAGATGTTGCCAGGTTGTTTCTCAAAAAGGGGATAGATACACACTTTACCCCTTCCCCCATATTCCCACCAGCCTGGTGTGTTCTTTTTGCCAATGTGGTATCTTACTGCTACCTTAATTTCATTTCCCTCTCTATTCGTGAATTGGGACATCTTTACATACATATGTTTGTTAGCCATGTGAATAGCTTTCCTGTGATTTGTTGATTCTTGCTTTTTATTTTTTTTTTTTTTTTACAAATTAAGAAATTTATGTATATTATAGACATTAGCCTTCATCTGTCATCTACAGTACAAATACTTTTTCTACAACTATCATTTGTTATTCTTTGTTTATAGGACCTTTTGTCCTACAAGATTTTGTTTTGTTTTTACATGTTCAAATATATACATAAAATATGTAAATGCACACACAATTTGTGTGTGTATATGTGTGTGTCTGTGTGTACACTTATATATTTAAAAGATATGTATCTATTTTTCTTAAGCCCCTGAAAGTCCAATAACTAAATGTACTTTTTAATTATCAGAGATGATTGAGAATTTAAGGTATTTGTCCTACATGTAAATAAGGGACAGCAGGAAAAAGGGATATGACCAAACAGAGCTGAAGTAGTTATTACTGGCACGGGGGGGGAATCATGTTTATTTCCCCCATCAACTGCGATTTTTTTTTTAATTTACCATTTTAACCATCTTTTAAATGTTTATTTATTTTGAGAGAGAGAGAATGAGAAAGGGGAAAGAGCAGAGAGAGAGGAGACAGAGGATCTGAAGCAGGCTCTCAGCTGACAGCAGAGAGCCTGATGCAGGGCTCAAATCCATAAACCATGAGATCATGACCCGAGCCAAAGTCGGAAGCTTAACCAACTGAGCCACCCAGGTACTCCCATCAACTGAGACTTTCAATAAACCAGTTACATTTAACTTATTGAAGTGGGTAAAGCATTATGACTCTCATTCTCATTTTTACACGGAGAAACTGAAGTATGGTGAAAAGACACAGCAAGTAATAAAGCTGAGAGATTCAACAGTATGTCTCTTGAAACACAACAGCAATGTCAATACAAGTTTTTGGTAGCATTTAGGAGCAAGCTGCTTACCTTTCAATAGCTAATTCTTTGTTAGAAAGTTGCTGCACTGTAATTACCACCTTCTTCTCTATTCCTTGTTTTAACTTGAAATAAAATTTCTCTCTATCCTTAGGCACAGGACTGAAATATGCAAAAAGAACAGAAATTATCAGTACAACACCACAATAAAATAATCTACTGCAAGTTTAGAATTCCAGCACCCTTATTCTTAAGGTGTGCTAAACTCATCTTGCCCGAGTAGCTAACTACCAATGTTATAGTCAGCAAAACAAAGTCAGTAATTAATTTCTAAATTGGATTTATAAGAGCCTTATATTTTACTTAACAAAGGTTAAAATCCAAGATTCTTTAAATGACATCATTTCAACTTTAGTTTCTAAATTTAACAAATTTAGGAATATAGCTTATTTAATTATTTTTTAAGACTCACTATTCTGGTTTAGCTGGTTGTGTGGTTGTAAGAGCCTTTAACACACTGAAACCCAAGGCAAACAAAGTGAGAAGAGCTTACTTTAAAACATCTACAATTTGAGATAACTGTAACATACAAACTCAAGTAAATATAAATAAGAGATGGAAAAAGAGCTATGGATCAGGGGCAACTTAAATTCTAGCCTCAGCCATACTGACTATTCTATAGATATAGATATATAGATATAGACATAGATATCTATATCTATATATATATTAGTTTCCATACAATACCCAGTGCTCATCCCAAAAGGTGCCCTCCTCAATGCCCATCACCCACTTTCCCCTCTCCCCCACCCCCCACCAACCCTCAATTTGTTCTCAGTATTTAAGAGTCTCTTATGGTTTGCCTCCCTCCCTCTCTATAACTTTCTTTTTTCCCC